GCAACCTGCACAGCTACAGCCGCCGCCGACCGCTCAGCCCATCCCCGTGTCCGTGCTTGTACCGGTGCCCAGCTCGCAGACCAACCAGCTGCGCCAACAGGAGCAAACGCCCCAACCCCAATCACCGGCCACCGCGGAGACGAATGCGAACAACTGCACTGGCGGGAGAGATGGGTGAGCAATTTTGCTTTTTCAATCAATATGGATCGCGTATATTGCCGTTTAACACTTTGCTCTCTGACGCCATTGATATGGCAACTTGAACGGCGATGATGTTTATTTACGTTCCGTTTTTTTAGAATATCGCTTTATAAGTAGATTCCTAAGCTCTTTTTATAATCTCATATCTTATGAGGCCACCAAACGCTGTTTGAGTCTGGAATTGCTGGTTCGAAATAGAACAAATTTTGAATGAATATTTCAAAGAGTTTCTCTTTCTTAAGTTTCTTCTGTTCTTTTTCTACTACTAATGACGATCAAGAGCACGATAGGACAGAAATATATATAATCGAAAAGGAGCTATTAGGAAATTTAGAACTGAAATATGAAGAAAAAGCCTGAATTTTCGAGACGATTCCACTCACTGAATGAATTTATTATATTTTACACAGAAGCAGCAGTGGCGGAAGCAAGACGGTGGCCTACACGTACGAGGCGTTCTTCGTGTCGGACGGCCGGTCGAAGCGTCGAAGCGCGAACACGAACGGGGCGGCGGTGCCGGACAAGGAGGCAGCCCAGCCGGACAGGCCGAAGTTCACGTGCACGGAGTGCGGGAAGCAATACGCGACGTCGTCGAATCTGTCCCGGCACAAGCAGACGCACCGAAGCCTCGATTCCCAATCGGCGAAGAAGTGCATCCACTGCGGCAAGGCGTACGTCAGCATGCCGGCGTTGGCGATGCACGTGCTCACCCACAAGCTTGCCCACAGCTGCGGCGTCTGCGGCAAGATGTTCTCCAGGCCTTGGCTGCTCCAAGGCCACCTGAGAAGTCACACGGGTGAGAAGCCTTACGGGTGCGCGCACTGCGGCAAGGCGTTCGCAGACCGGTCGAATCTCCGCGCCCACATGCAGACCCATTCCGCGGACAAGAACTACGAGTGCTCGAGATGCCACAAGACGTTCGCCCTCAAGTCTTATCTGAACAAGCACCTCGAGTCCGCCTGTCTACGCGATGACGAGATACCGCCACCATCGCAGCAGCAGCAGCAGCAGCAGCAGCAACAGCAGCAACAAACGGGAGCTACGAACGGTAATAATAATAACAACGCGACGACGCAACACCAGCAGGGCAACAATCGTAGTTTGTAGCAGCGCTTCGACGACAGGAAGGCTACGAGCAGGCGTCTCGACGCAATGGCAAGGGAGAGCTAGCGGTTGTTCCCGGCGACACCCGGTTAAAACCGGGGTATACACGAACGAGATCGTCGATGGGGATGAAGGGAAGAGGAGGTGAAGAGAGGGAGGAAAAAAGAAAATAAAAGGTTTGCCGTAGGTTTTAAGTAGAAAAGTGCCAGTAGAGAAAAATGGAGGATAATAGAGAGAAGTAACCGAATGGTAGTGTTGTAGAAGGGAAGTAAGAGAGAGAGAGAGAGAGAGAGTGAGAGAAAGGGAGAGAGAGAAAGAGAGAGTGGAAGATGTCGGTTTCTTA